AGTATTTTACTATTATTGTCCCTTTATTGCTAAAAATATGCATGGTCAATACAATATCCACTATACAAAAATATCAAATTGATAAAAACAAAATAAATAAATCATTTCTTACTCATATTGGTCATGTTCATGTTTTAAATATTTTATTCAGTTTATTATAATTTAAAACGAATAACAATGGCGATAACAATAAATATTAGTTAGCAAAACTTTGGAAACATAACGTAATATTTAGCTTGTTATTTTTTAAAGATAAACTCGGAAAAAAAGGACAATATTTTCATAGAACTTACTTTTCATTTCGTGGAATTAAGATTTGTAAAGTTGACTAGTCCTCTTAGGGTGTAAAGCGTACACTTTTAAGATTTAGGGCGTTAAGCGTGATTACTTCCAAATCTCGGGGGAAGAGGGTAAAGTGTGATTAACCCTATCTCTCTGTATCAACAAGAACAAGGTAAAATCCCGGAATAAGATTTTGGACAGTTAAAACCTCGTACTGACAAGCGTATCAAATATATTAGCTTTATCTGCCAAGTCAGCACCATTGCAAACCGTTTTTAAGTCGTAGCCTCCAAGCAGTTGCATCGATACCGCAGAATCGTAGTTGGATTACTTGGAAAAGCGGGCAACATCATGAAAGTAGTCGTTCTTTACCTCCCTTGAACTTGAACATGATGGTTAGAATTTCGAATGATAAAACCTGCACTCCATGAATTTATAAGCAAAACAAGCGGAAAAGCATGCGATTAACATCTAGCCTTTGCTAATTCAAACTTTTGCCCTTGACAGCCAAAAAAGAACAAATAAAGAGCATGCAGCTACACAAAAGAGCTCAAGGACCTTTTCCATTTTTTTCTGAATTAATGCACCTTGTAGCCTTCTTTTTAGGTAGCGGTGATCATGAAAAATGAAGTACCAATACAGCATCAAGACGTCATTTATATTAAAATAAAATACTTACATTATATACACATAGATTCAACCTGTACCTGCAAACTTTATCTAATTCAATAATTTGAAATGTACTATTTGTTTTTTCACCAGTGTCATGTCCAATCTGACACAAATTATATGTAGATGATGGATAAGATCCTCCATACGTACCAGGTAAATTAGCCACCTCTCTAAGGACGGCAAGAATTTTGGCACTTTAAAAACTACCAACCTGGCTAGTTGGCAGAAACAATGACAGACCTTTCCTAAGGTTTTGGAGAAACATGAATAGAAAATCACATGCACATCCCAAAAGGCCGAGCCCAATAATAAATATCAGAGGCCACCAAACCTTACATCAGGAACTTTGGGAGAAACAGGAGTATGTGGGGGTGCTGCGGGTGATCAAAAGGCTTTATGGTAAAGCTCATGAATTTTCTTCCATGAGTCTTCTCTTTGCATCTTCAATTGCCCATAGAAGTTCCCAATAAATGTCTCAGCCTTATGAAATAGCTCCTGCCCACTAAGCACATCCCCAACAGCTTCCTGTTGATCATCATCAGAACTAAAATCTTCTGCTTCAGTCTCAGCACCAGCTATAAAAAATAGGCTTGGTGTAGAAGGGCTTTTCTCGACAATCTTCTGAACCTTGACACCTGCAACAATCTTCTCAGACGACAACTTCTCGGCCACATCAGGTTTTTTCTTGGTTGTTGTAGGCTCAGATTCAAGAAGCATTGCCTTGTTGGTGGTGTTGGCAGATATTTCTTTATCATTCGGAGAATACTGATCTGAAGGAATTATCATCTTAGCTTTTTGTGTTTCATGACTTTTAGAAGGAGGAGATTTCTTGTCTTCTGCTGCTTTGAGAATGAAGGAAAGAAGGCCAGCTTCAGCACCAAGCGCGACGATGAGAAGATTGAAAACAAAGTAGAGATATGGAGACCTCAATGATGTAGATAAGATAGGCGTCACGCTTAGGAGAATAGCTATGAAAAAAAGCTTTAGAATTTGAGACTTCTTAAACTTGTCCATGATCAATAAAATACGTTTAGGAATATGGACACTAGGATGTTGTTTGTGTTTGTGTAATTTCTTTGAACAGGGAGTGAATGGCAGTAGCTGCTTTAGTACGGTGGAGTGGAAATGTGGAGGGGCCTATTGATTTATATACACAGACGCAGGGGTGAAAATCAGATTAAGGGGCCGGGTTGGAAGAATGTTGGTTTGCCTTTATCCTGATTCCCTATGAAAATAAATTAATACTCCTTGAACAGAATAACGTGCAATCCAACAAAAAGAAGCAAATAAAATTCCAAAAAGACGAAACAATCAGAACATGGTGGAAAAACTTGCTTGGTTATGGTAGGGTTACACTGGAGCCCGAATCCTTTCTTGTCTTTTAGGGTTTAATTAAATCCTGGATATAGAGCTTTAGTGGTTGAAATATAAAAGAGAATTGTTCGAACTATATATATCCTCACACAAATCTTCCCCAAACTAATTTAGACAAAACCGTCCACTCATATTTGCCTGGTGCCACCAAAAGCTGTCCTCCCCTGAAACCTGTCAAGTAATCATGATGTGGTGGGATAGATTAATTGATAACCAACTAGTATATTCTAGAATTTATGTGTGTAAATTAATCTTTCGTACATTACAATGCATATATATTATTGGGTTCAGATGCACATCGTACATGAAAAATTTGAATTTCAAATTTAAGCTAAAATTAATTATCGGGCATCCAAACCTAATGGCATCTACATTATTAGCATATGGAAAAATTAATCCAAAAAGTTGTTACTACTGTACAAGAAAATCTCAGTTTATTTGCCTGAAACTTGAATATATCTTAGACTAGGCCTTGCCAACCATACAGGGCAAGCAACTATCCTTAGGGATGGCAATGAAAATGGGCGCCTGCTCCATAGAAGGAGGAATGAGGTCTGAACTTTATCATCGTCAACTTCAAGTAAGGAGATTTTGATTCTGACTTACGTCATCAAGGAGACCAAAGAACACGCGAAACAGGGAAAAGTTCATCTGAGTCGGACTAGACATTTTCATACGATAAGGTCGGTGGGAAAACGGACTGATTATTCTCATTCCACACGATCTTTCCCCTTTTTGAATTTTTTTTTTTTCTGATTTTAGGAGAATACAAAGGCAAAGGCAGGCAGCTCTTCTACTCTTGTCCACTAACTTGCTTCAACCGGCCGGCGGCGTTTTTACCCATCCAGTCGCCCTTTTTCCTGTCGTAAGAAATCCAGATGCGTGATCTTTGCCCTGGTCCCAAAGTAGCTTAAGTTTTCCGATGGAATCTCTTATCTCTACGACTAAAAGCCCACTCGAAGAATTGTCATGCTCGCAGTCGTGGTCGTGGAGTCCCCGCCACAAAATCCGATTATACTTTTTCCTTTTTTTTTTTTTTTTCCATTCTACGGCTCTGGGCCAATTGGGCCAGCAGGCGGACAATTTACCAAGTTGACGGTCCAGGCATAATCTTCACCTTTTTTACGCTTTTTTTTTTTTTTTTTCTCTTGAATTTCATAATATTATTGTTTGGATGAGCTTTTCAGATTCACTTGTAGGCATGTCCGTTCAAATTGTTCCGGGGTTTTTGCTTGCTCCGGTTTTGTTTCTTTCCGAGGATTTCGCTTACTCTCTAAGGCTTAGCTTAGTTGGAACTTGGAAACTGATTTGATAAGATAAACGAAAGGAAAGTACAATCTTCGATACTCGCCTGTTCTCTTTCCCATTAGAGATGTAGAGATAAAGATGTCCGGTGATAAACAGTAGAGACCGAAGCTTTTGGCAAGAAGACACAATAATGTTGTCATCCATTTGGATAAACTTGTCCGAGGATCGGCTGAGTAGCTCTAGCAATCCCATCTCATCGGATCGGACTTTTTGAAGTGAAAAAACTACCTGTCATTTGTCTCTATTATGTTTTATCTCATCCACATTAGTTTATCTCTCCCTAGAGTTGCGTTAAGCATTTTTGTTCTCTTTTTCCTTTTTTTTTTCAACTATTTCAAAAGTCGGTTTCGAGCATGCACCGTCCTGAGCAGTGAGTAGTACCAAGTAAATACCCCATGTGCCTAAGATCCATAAGGTTTCAAGTAGCACTAAAAAGTACAGCCCTGATCTGCCATGGAAAATAAAACCAGCATAACCTTTTTGAGGTTATCATCTCCGATCCAAACTTTAGTAACATGCATAGCAAAAGATACTTCACCAAATAAGACCGTTACCTCGCTTTGTTGCAATGTTGCACTGTCTCTGGACCATATCCATCTTACTCGAACTTCTGTGGCTCAACGTTTATTTTACGCAGCCCGCTCTTCCGCAAATATATTGCAAAATAAAAGCTTAATACACCAAATTGGCTTTACTTGTAATGGTTCAATGAACCGAAGAATTGTGCAATTGTAATGACAACTATCACCTGCGAATCAGTTGACACCTACTTAGCTGCGAAACCATCCCAACAATAGAACATAAACAGTTACATGCAGACGAACGTTCACTTGCAGGCATTCACTTTTGGAAGATACAAAAAAAAAAAAAGTCACTTAAAACTGCCAGAGGACAATAGTCACAAGATAAATAGATGCTGAAAAGCTAGATGCAAGTATCACGGCACTTCTCTCTTTCTCCTCAATGTCATTACCCCAATATTGTTACCAGAAATCAGATTCAAAGGAACCTGCAATTGGCATAAATTTATAATATGTTTCTGCCTTGAGGAAGAAAGCAGGGTCATCCGCTAGAGTACCATCCTTCTCAGAAACCCATTAAAAACAAATTCACCAGTCAACAAAAAATTTACAGTAACAAAGGACCTATTTTCTTGAGCTGAAGGTTCTCCTTTTGTGTCAAAGTAAAACTGAACTAAGCTCGATTAACAATAATATAAGGACGCAAAGAAACCTTGGGAGGCCTAAATCAAAACTCACTTTGCCATCCAGGAACATGCTACACGTCAATTCTACATCTCATCTAATTGATGAGGATGAATTACAGGGGATTAGCATCGACAACAATCTAACAACAACTATATATGTCACTGAGTCAACAGTAGAACTCATTTCTCACCAAGTTGACTATGTGTACACAAATACAAATGTTGAGAATTGCCTCCAATTCCACTGGATATTCTTTATCTAAGATCTTAGAAAACGGATACCATAACACAGAATACAAATGACATTATATATGTTACTTGTACCGATACACAGTTTCGATCACCCACACCCTCTAATGACCCCACCACGCAAAATTTCCCAAACCGTGTCTTAATGAGCGTATCTTCCACCACAAAGGATCCGATTCCTAACTCCTAGCTCTTTCCTTTCTACTTGAGGCGACCAGTCAAGCTGCAGCCTGAACGAATCAGAAAGTACAAAAGCCTCTTACAGCACTTGGCTCTGAAGAATCACCAGCGCCATTCTAAGCAGAGCTACTCAGGAGATAGGCTACCACACATCCAAGCAAAGCACCAGCAACAACCTGTACCACATAATGTCACTATGAGAATTTCTTTTTTTTTTTGGTTTGGGGGGGGGGGGGGGGGTGGTGTGGTGTGTGGTGGTGTGGTTTGGTGGGTCAAGCTATCCTCATGCTGTAGTACATAATATTTTAAGAACCTAAAAAGCTGGACAGTGTGTTAATCGCTGCAATTAAGAAGACAGTAGTATACCATGGAAGTGACTCTGAATGGTACCGCTCATCATGATATCACTGCAAGGAACATTAGCCACAATACCTCTATATGGGAATAATAGTGACACGCTAAAAAGATAAATTCAGCAGACATCAATGCATGTAACCCAAATATAAACATCAGGCACAAGATGGGTATCACAGTACTTATTTTCTAGGTAAGTACGCTGCAACATAAGTGGCGCATCATTGAGAATTAGATATTAAATAATTATTTAAATTTCATTAAGAGAATATTAAAACCAGCATTAACAAGCCGAGAAGGCCTTGGTCTAATTGCTAAGGTTGAGGCCTTAGGAATTAGAGGTCCTAGGTTCAAATCCCCCTGCCCCTTTCCCGCTTCTTAAATCCCACCTCCCCTGCTGGGAACAAATTAAAAAAGAAAAAAGAAAAGGCAGCATTAACACCCAAAACAAACAACCGTAGTTTACAAAAAGAACCCTGATGGAGGACAGCATTGGGTGGATTTATATGTCCAGCAACTAGTGAAAGGCACTAACTCCGTTCTCGAGCATATTATTAAACAACAGTAGCATTCCAAACACAGAGTCAATGTTCCAGATGAATAAAACAGAGTTCAGAAAGTATATCAGTAAAGGCTGCTCACAGATGTCCAGCCTTCAACAACCAAACCAAGACCCCAAAAGGCAAAACCCACATTTATTAAAAGAAAAATAAAATAATTAAAAGCCAGTAACAAGCAATCAGTCTCTGTATAACTTAAGAATAAGTAAAACTAGAGGAGTTTTTCTGCAGTCAAACCTGGAAAGGAGTGTGACCAAGTGAATCTCGCAGAGGCCTAACATTAGCGACAGGATGTTCAGGGGGCAATTCACAAACTATCTGATTCAATAACTGCACAAACAAAGGTCAAACTATATAATCAACAAAAAGCAAGAAAAACAACTTGGGTAGACTCCTGAATACAACATGCATTGTATAAGAAGCCATATGAAAAGTTTCTAGTAAATAGGATAACTCATACACACAGTTCAAAATGTGCATACCCATCCAATGAAGAATGTAACTAAAACACAAAAGACAGGAAAGCTCATAAACAGTTAATGAAGTTCATAGGGAGAGACACTAATAAACAGTTAGCGAAGGATCTTTGAATGCAAAAGGTAAAATCTTACTTCAGCCTGCCGACCAGCATGAAGCCTAACACCAGTAGCATCATACATTACCTGAAATAAATGCAAAAAGAAATAACTGAAAATGATTGCTCCTTGTTAAACTATCCAAAGCTCCGATAAAGAAAGTAGCTACTGCAGCCTCAACAAAACAAAGAACCCAACCAGAGAGCAAGAGAGAGTGAATATGAAAAAGGAAAAAAGGGAGCTATTTGCCAGAGATATCAGGACCCTAAGTTAGTTGGTTAAATGGAATGGTGTATGTTTCTAAATATGCTATCAAGTAGATTCAATTGATCCGCCATCTGACATATAAAACCATCTCAGTTTCCCACTACAAAACCTTATTCCGTCTAGAATAAACACATTATGGTTGATGTTGAAGGGGTTTGGTTGCCCACTGACCTTCCTACTTTAAATATTACTAAAGCATTTTTGAAGCTATGTAATACAAATGTAAAAGAATGGAGAAAACCTGGTTTAGAAAGTACATACAACACATGCCAAAACGACCGCAATGGCAAAAGCAGATGTTCCCGCTCCATCTTGCAAACCTATTGCTACAGCAAGAGCAGTAACAGTTGCTGAATGTGATGACGGCATTCCACCAGAACTAAGCATCCTTCTCGAATCCCATTTCCTCTCCTTGAACCTGGAAATCAAATGCTTCAAAGTTACAAGCACAAAATGAAAGTGACAAAAAAAAAAAAGGCAAGCTCCAAAAAAGGCACTAACATGGAAAGCAAAGAACTTTTAACTAATTTCCGTCTTTACCACCGACAGTCTAACATTAACACCCCATCGTCCCAACTGAAATCATAGCGTCACTCATTAGTAGTTCCATTTATCACCACATCACTCCAGGGTTCATTAAATAAGCAGACACATTTAATGACAAAATTCATTATGTCCTTTGTTCCTCCTGAAGGAAGTCATCAAAGACTCTGCACAGACTTAAGCTTCTCAAATCACTAAACAAAGGCAACTGATCTCGGTTCAACTCAAGCTCAATATAATTAGGTATAAAATTAACAATTTACCCTTCAAAAAGTTTTCACAGGGAAAGTGGAAAGTACAGCACCAGCCCTTAAATAGAAATACTTTGGGTCAACACGCCACATAACACCAATAAACTTGACAAAGCTAAAGATATTTCCCTATTTCAACCGAAGCAACCCTTTAGTCATTCCAATTTTAACAGAAAATCAAGTACACTTCAACAACTACAGTTTCCTAAAACAGCATGAATTAACCAAGCTAAAATTTCAGAGTTAAAGATAGACAATCAGAGTAAAGTTAAAAACCTTTTCTCTGTTATCATATGAGACCAGTTAAATCAACAGCCAAAAAGAAAAAAAAAACAAATCAAGAATATCAGAATGCAATACCAATGGGTAAAGATCTTGAGAAATTGGGCAACAAGACAAGCGAGGAAAGCGGAGACAAGGGGGAGATTGGAGGGATAAATGGAGTGTGGAGATGAGTATGGGCGTAAGCTGGAGGATGCATCAGCTGCCGTCATTACTTCGTTCATTTCACCTTTTGGATCATAAAAATGTGGAAGTTGCAGGTTGACTTAGGGCTTATAATCTAGAGAAAACTACTCCGTTGAACGTGGATTCGGATCCCGGAGGTGGAGACGTGGAGTTTTTTGGGTCTCGCTTTCCAATTGGAGGAATTCGGTCAGGGGCGTCGCGGGGAGGGTGGTGGTGAGGACTCACGCGCGGCACCTGCCCGGGCTAAGTAAATTGTTGGTTCCAACTTCCAGCTTGCGAGGAAGGTGGGAAGAAACCGGAAGCTGGAATCTTCACCGTCTAGTATAGAACTACTATTACAGTAGTAGCATCCTAATTTTTTTTATTATTATTATTATAATTTTTGGGTCCTTGTTCAATTTGTTTGATTTATTTGGATTAAGTTAAAATAAATAAATGGGTTCTTTTAGCCGGGCTGGGCTTTTGAGTCCCCAATCCTGGACCAATTCCAGTTGTCGTGGGCTAGTATTTAAATTGAGAAATGAACCCCATGTGGCCCAAAAGTTTGGCTAACGTTTCTTCTTCTCCCACCCAAGCCATGATCCAGTAGCTTACCATGTTTATAGGATATTCAAATTGTTAATTGTTAGCTTTAGGAATTTGAACCAGTACATGTAGCAGCATTTGCTAACGAGGAGCGCAAGCTCATTTGTCAAATATACGAGAATGACCGGAGCCTTGTCCCCTGGTCTCACTTTGTTGAAGTTAGTTATAGGTCGGAAGTTAAAAGGTACGAGCAATTGAGTGGTTGGTAATCCGTAACTAGCGTTTAGCTGGTGATGAGTATTTATAAGGGAAAATCCAATGGACAGAATTTGACACCAACGTTTGGTTAATTATCATATGATAGGCTATGGAGGCGGAGTCAAACATAACTTTAATCGCTAGGACGGTGGGTGATTATATCAACATATCAATCACTAGTCACCTTTACCTATCAGGGTATTAGAATTCATAACAGTGTTCGAGGTAAGAGTGAGGCTGAGCCAATTTCTAGAGATGATTCTTTACCTCGGAACGGTGAGGACGAGATACTTGGAGAAACTAAAGGCCGGGGTAATCACCCCGGTATAGAACTTCCCAGGTGGTGTCCACAGTAGTCGAATGCAGAAGTGAATGGATGGTTCATCAAAGAGCTGCCCTCGTTCTTATTTTTTGGTTTTTGTTTCAGTTCAACAAAGTTCTTGGTAATTAGCTTAGCAAGATTATTGGTAAGGGGATTATGGATCTCTACGCCTACGCCACCGACAGAGCGGAACTTAACCCCCCCCCCCCAACAAAAAAAAGAAAAAGAAAAAGTTAAGTCAAAAAGCCGTACGATAGAAAGTGGAGGTCTTTTAAAATTGTGACGCATGGCAAGACTAAATTGCTGTGTACAGTAAAATGGGCCAAAGCTGAAAGAAAAACAGAGACCCATCCATTTGGCGTGGTTTCCCGGTGGCAGCATGATTGTCAGCGAACGTGATGTGGAGGTCCCCCCGTACGGTACCAAAGCTGTTGGAGAAAGTCTGTTCACTCCTCATTACCCTGTGGAACGTTGAGTAGAACGACTGCCTGCGAAATTTCCCCTTCTTGTCGTGTTGCCTCGCTCAGACTGACATGATGCTTTTTCAACTGCATCGGATAACTATTGTCATGTTCGTGAAAGATTTTTTTGTCATTCCAAATTTTGGGTACTTACTACTGGTACAACATCTCTATTTGATGCAGCCAACTTATACTACACCTAATTTTCTTAGTACTTTGGGGGAAAAAAAATCCAATTTTGTTTCTCCTTACCTCGACTTTTCTTAGTTCGGTGATTTTAGTTGGCATTGGATTGAAATATTCTGATTGATCTGAGCATTTGGAAGTCCATTTTTTTAAATGGTAATTGTAGCAGTTCTTAGCTCTCACTAAAATGTATGAACGTGATAGCCAAAGATAAGGCCTAAATGCTAGACTCCATGTTTTGATCATGTAATATGCCTAGCTAGTTTTGATGGTCGTGGTTAATAGCGCTTCAGTAGTCATTCTTGAGTTCGGCTTTGTTTGGAGAGCATTAACTTCTTATAAAAAAATTATTGTAACGATTTGATATATGTGAAATGAAAATATAATTAAAAAATATGTTCACAAAAAAAGTAATAATTTTTCTTTGAAAATCTACAATTCAAACACACACCATTTTAAATAGGTCTTTAAGAAAATCTACAGCAAACTAGTACTAAAATTCTTGAACTACAAATCAGACCATTCAAAATGAAGCGGATAATTTTTTGTCCTAAACATTCTTCCATCTCGTTTTTTATAGTTTATACTCGAGAAAAGTGGGCTAGGGAGTCAACTCTTTTATCTCCTATGGTCTTAACTGATAATTGTGCTCATGCATTCCAAAATCAAGGGGGGGCGGCTAATCACATATTTTAATGGAGCCAATTTTGAAAGATCAACTAATCAATAAAATGAAGGAAACACGATGATGCCATCATTTGAGTCCACGTTGGCCCAATAGTCGAGGTTAAGTTAGCTTGGAGCAGTAGTAGCACAGTACTACAATAGAATAATCTAAAATTCTAAAGGAAGATACGAATCTCTCGATGCTTTCCACGAGTTTTTTTGTCGATTATGGGCCTGTTTGGAACCTGAGTTTTTAAGGAGTTTGTCTATAAAACTTTACTGTAGAAGGTTTTGTAAGGTGAAAAATTTTTTTGTAGAAGTTTTTGTAAGATGAAAAACTTTTTTTTCTTTCTTTTTCTCTTTCTTTTTCTTTTTCTTTCTTTCCTTTTTCTTTTCTTTCCTCTCTTCTTCTTCTTCTTCTTCTTCCTTACCTCTTCCCCTTCCCCGTTACCTCCCAGCAACAACTCCCTTTCCCCCTTCCCCCGCCCACTGCCCACCCCCGCCACCCCTCAGCCCTCCCTTTCCCCGCCCACTGCCCTTCCCCGTCACTCCTCAGCCCTCCCTTTTCCCCGCCCCCTGCCCATTGCCCTCCCCCGTCACCCCTCTGCCCTCCCTTTCCCTCTTCCCCCGCCCACTGCCCACCCCCGCCACCTCTCTGCCCTCCCTTTGCCCACCCCCCGCCCACTGCCCTTCCCCGTCACCCCTCTACCCTCCATTTCCCCCTTCCCCGGCCCACTGCCCTCCCCCGCCACCCCTCTGCCCTCCCTTTCCCCCGCCATCCCTCTACCATCCCTTTCCCCTTCTCCTCCCCTCCGCCCTTCCCCTGCAGCCCAACCGCACCAGACGCTCTAGCAGCCCAGGCTCAGCCTTTCCTTTGCTCCACAACGCACCAGACGCAGGCCAGGCTCGCGACCCAGATTATTTGCACGCGCGGAATGGGGGACGAAACGGCGGTGGTAGTCGGCACCGACAGTGGTGGTGGATTGGGATGGGGGAGGAAGAAGGAAAAAAGGGAAGGGAATTTTTTATGGTGTGTTTTGGGTATGTTGAAGTGTGTAGGTAAAAAATTTTGAGAAGTTTTTTGGGATTCCTGTAGCAAAAGTTGTTAAAAAACTAGTAGGTAAAAAACTTGCCCAAAAAACTGGCTTCCAAACAGGCCCAAGCGTCTAGAAATCCATAATACGGGACAGCAAGTCGTTGTCCAATGAGACTATTCCATTTATTCTAAAATTTTGCTGTAACAACCCTCCGAAAAAACAATTTGCTGTAACACGTTTTTCTTCTTCTTTTTTTTTTGTATAAAGAAATAGTCCAATTAACTGCGGCATTGAGCAGAAGAGCGTGTTCACCTGCACAGCTGCTAAATAGTACTTTTAATGAAAAATTTGTCAAATTGGTCCTTCATATTTTTAGAAAAAACTTTTTTAATACCTCATATTTAAAATCGGCCTCAATAATCCTTTAGATATAAAAAAAGTCTGCCTAATTGGTCCCAAAATTCATTTTAACTCACTTTTTCAACCAAAAAGTACACATCTTTCTTGCGTGTCCATAATTTTAAGGGTAAAAATGAAGAAAAAAACACTTCGTTTCCTTTTTTTATTTAAAAAAAAAAGAAAATGTAAACCAGTGAACCCCTTTTCCCCCTCCCCCCTATTTTAGCTACTAAAATCCTAGTTGTAAGCCATCAAACACCCAATCAAAGAAGAAAATTTTAGTGTGGTCACCTACAAGTAGTAAAAGAAGAGCAAAAAAGTACATTTAAGAAACTCACTCATTGAAGAGTACACTGGAAACAAATAATGATTGATGTCATTGTGATAAAAAAAACCCATGATTGTGAGTTTTGGAAAACTGCAAATCCGATAGAGAGATTCTATGGTTGCTGAAACTATGGAATAAGTCCGAGCATATTTTATTTTGGTTGTTTTAGAAAAAATTGGTTCTTAATATAGAGTGAAAATAGGTTCTTAATATGTGTTGTTATTGCATTTTAGGTAAATCGTACTCGTCACTATTTCAAGTGGTATAATCATCTGATGTGCAATAAATCAATGTCAATAATACCTACCTTGTTAAAGGCCATCAATCGGTTGGAAGCTGAGCATGAAAGAAGGATTTAAAAAAAAAATTACTTTGGGCTACTTTACTTACTTTTTGAATGTGCATTTTGTTGATTGTGTTGAATAAGAATTTAATTACAGTCAAAAGAAGAAACAAAACATATGGTGTAAAAGCAATATGATCTTTGTACCTTGATTGTTGGCACCATCGTCAACATGATATTGAAAAATGAAAAAAATTAAAACCTCCCTTGTTCAATCGAGGTTTGTATTTAGGATTTTGGTGGCTAACATATTTTTTAAGAGGAAATGAAATGTGTTTTTATTTTTGTCCTTGAATTTATGGGTAAGTGAGAGAAGCGCGCACTTCTTGGTTAGAGAAGTGAGCGAAAACGACTTTTAGGACCAATTTAGCAGACTTTTTATATTTGAGAGACTATTGTGGTTAATTTTAAATATGAAGGGCTAAAAAAGTTTTTTTTTTGAAAATATATTAAAGAAATCGTCCAATTAACTGCGGCATTGAGCAGAAGAGCGTGTTCGTCTGCACAGCTGCAAAATAGTACTTTGAAATGTAAAACGATCGTTGACGGTGGGACCCACAAGCTGGGAAGATGGAATGCCTACTTTTATTACACGACGGGCAACGCTCGCCATACAATCAGGCCAGTCGAGTCCACGGCGGAAGATACTTCGGAGATCCTTTTCCAAGCCAAGAAATTTCCGTGTGCACGTATTT